GATTTGTCACTCTATACATCGTGAACGCCATGTTAATTCGTATTGATAAATATTGCCTTCCTGTCTGGGAGGTGAGTACATTAGGAGTGTTTCCTGGTTCCGATGGGTAAATCATCTAGTCGTTATTTTTGTTGAATGAGGGGTTTCATATACAAATAACGTACTCGAAAGAAAACAATAATTGTCAAAAGATCGATACATCACTAGTACATAGCCTCAACTCTAGAACAACTTACTGGAAGCGCATTTTGCTAACTATGTAAATGCCATATTTGGGTTTTCTTTTCCTGGATTGTTTTCATAAGCAAATATTTATTATTTATAAAATTAATATCAATTACACTTTCATTTTGAGAAAACATAATGTCAATTACTGGCATGACATTCTGAAAAGGTTCAGCTTGTTGGGTTGTGTATTTTTCTAATTTATTAATTTTTTTGACACGCATTTCTCGCCTGGCTTCGACGGACAACTGATCAACTACTTGGTGTTAATTCGACCCATGGGAAAAGAAAATAAATTCCCAGCAAGACAAAAATAATTTAAACAACAATACATACTGCATAATACAGTTCCAACTCGAGTATGTATTTCCGTCAAATGGTTTGACAAAGTAGAGTTGAAATTCTTCTTCATTTCTTGGTTAGCCAGGGTATGAGCGCCTGTCTTTCCTAACCTAAAATACTTTTTCTGTCAATTTCGGAAGCTTCGTAAAGTAAAGTTTTATTATATGAATGAACAAAAGTATTAATTAACAAAATAAACGAGAATTGCAAACTAAGTGTGTCTATAGAATGTGATCTATCCTGCCGATCTTGCTGTCTTTTAACTGAATTGACTATCATCGAAGATGTCAAAATTCAAAATTGTGAAGAACTAATCATTTGAATGCATTAAAAATGATCTTCATGAAAGTGAAATTTAAAATAAACGGAAATTTGTTTAAGCTGAATAGGCAGGCGTTGCTCAAGAAATTTGGCACATAATTAACAGTCGGGCGTGCCTAATGGACGATCTGAGATTCCCTTTCGCATTCAAATGTTGTTTTTCCCCGAAACGTAATGCTATTTCTAGAAACGGGTTTGCCAAATCAGTCGGAAACTACGCTCTCGAGGAATCGACTTTTAAATTAAGGCAGTATGTATATATTACGGCTTTCGAATGGTCGTTGGGTTTCTTTAACTTGATGGAAGGCTTTTTTTGGCAGACGAAATGACTTCAACCGAAAATTGACAATTAAATTGCTTAATGCCGGTTGGGATATATTTTACAACTTTAAATGTATTGTTTATACATGTCTGGCAATAAATTATTTTATTTTATTCTATCATGCATCACCCAATGCCCACAAGGTGCCATTTATAATTTCTTTTAAAGGAATTTACATTTGAAGTTTTAAAATTATTAGGGCAATTGTTGTATATTTCGTATAGTTATAACCCTAAAACCGTAAATTCATATATTGGACATCGTTTCTAAATTTAATCTTCCTTGCTAGGTAATGGGGACATCAGTTATATATAAGCTATGAAGCAATGCTACAAGGTGTAATTTACATCTACTTTCCTTTAACAACCACGTAGTTTTCTGTAATTTTGTGACACTGTCATCCTTCTACGTATACCATATACAAATAGAATTCAAACTTTTTCTAATTGGCACAGAACTACAAAATCGAATTAAGTTGTTTTTAAGTTTTTTAAAAATACCTTTCCATTTGCAAATGACAGATTTTAAATTCCAGTATGATTTGTTGACAAGGGGCTTAACGTAACAGGAGGATTAATTTGCACATTAACTATATTGTCTACCCCTGTTCTAGCCGATCATCTTCGGACCTGAGGTCGAAAACTACAAAAATTTGCGTAACTTTGGAAGCTTTCGCACCAAACGAGGAATTGAAAATATACCCCAATCATATCGACAGCTTCCTTATTTGTGAAATGCAGTTTATCAGTTTATTATTACTTATGTGTGCAACAAACACTGTTGACAAGTTGATTTTAGGCATTTATTTTTCCTCCATGGCCTACTCTTCATATGCTGCACTTGCATATTAAAATATTTATTGAATATTGTGCTCCTATGCAGTTTTATATTATTTTTGTTAAAATTATAAAACTTTTTTAATAGTTGTTGAAAAACATATAAATAAGAAAAATTACCGGTATGATATCGACTTTTTAAAAGTTAATAATTTTTAAATTTCCTTTCTCGGATACTTAAGGCTAGAAAAAAAGGTAGATAATTTGGTAATTATTGTATCAAAGAACGCGCTCTAGCGGGATCACTAAGAATTAGATATATTAGAAGTAAGACGATAAAGCAATAAAAACTTTTTGTAACCATGCCAAGTTTGTCAAAATGCATTCAGTTGCTTAGGAGATACAGCTGTTTATTAAAAAAATAACCACCCACTACTTTATTTTAACAGATACCTCAAAAAGTATTAAAAAAAATTATTTGTTTAAAGCTTAGTTTCTAAATATATATTTGAGTACCTTAACTAGAAGGATTTTAGTGGAAAATTACTTTTTAAATTTAAGATGAGATTAAGATTTGAATGTAGAAACATTTTCCACGATTTTCTTACTGCAACGACGAATAGTTTTCAAGATACAGCACTACTATTCTCATCTGGCCACCCTGTGCAACTACAGCGTGGTGTAGAGGATGATGCACTGCTAGGAAATTAATCAGATTCAAATGTTCCCGACTTTGACATTTCATAATGTTTTTCATAAACTTCTTCTGGAACTTTTGTACTTATTTCTTCATGATTACGGATTATTAAAAAGCCCTTGTCATTGCTGCTTTACTATTTGTAAAATCGAGGTAATTAGTAGGTAATATGAACCATTTTTTTTTAATTTCACTTGTTTGTAGAATGATCTCCTCAACAACTTTTAGAGGCAATTGCAGATTTATTAATTAAAAAAAAAGAAATTGCAAAAAATTAACAGATAACCCAATCTTTAAAAAAAATCGCCAAATTGTCAACCTATCAGATTTGAGATTGCGTAGGTGTGATGTAACATAACCTGGAAAACCGTTCCTAACAAATTAGCTTGACCGATGGAAATGTTTCGGATAGTAAATCGGTTTTCGATCACCCTGTATATATTTATTTTCACCAAGTTATTGTTTACGCTGGCTATCGCAATAGCCTTTTTTATTCCAATTAACCTTAAAAATTATTTATTAACAGTAATTGTTTACCTAATTACTCGCGTACGAATATAATTAAAAGTTGTAGGTAAACAGTTCACACTTCTAAAGTATGCGCTAATATTGCTAAATTTACTAAGGAAACATAAATTACGAAAACATGTCAGAATAAATTGTGTTTAAAATATTGAATTAGCAAATGCAAATATGTAAAAAGCACACGAAAAATCCTTAAGTTTGATCAAGGAAGAAAAATCGCTTTACTTTAGTTTTTATTTATCTGACGCGCCTTTTTTCGAAACATGGGCGCACCGGTCCAAAGGTCATAAATTGTTATCTAAATAAAAAGAGGCCCCGGGGGAAGGCTTATCTTTCTCGTAAAAAGATACCGTATGAGTATTTATCGCCCATTTTCATTTGCCGGAAAGGCCGAATGTTTTGGCGCCCGAAAAATATTTCTGTAGCTTTATAAACGGCATTATCCGGAAGCCGAGAGGAAGGTTTTTTCGATATTTCGATTTCTCGTGGCGTTAGAAAATATTTCTTAGGTACTTCTTTAGTATGCAGTAGACAGCGGATATAAGTGTTATTTGTTGCTTCTCTTTTTTCTTTTCTCATTCGATCTTTAATGTTTATATTAATTTTGCTGTCTTTTGTCCAATCTTTTTGATTTCTTTCGCTTTCGCTGTGAAACTGTGAATTTAGTAACTGAATAAAATCTAAATTAACATTACATAATATGAATAATAATTATAAAGTAACAGCAACAGAACGCTATTTAAATGTCAAGTAAACTTTAAAATGAGGACCAGGTTTATTTATTTATGGGATATTTAATTTTTTCGTGCCTCTACACTTATTTATGATATTAATGTATTTTGATTCGTGGACCTTATTATTTAGTAAATATTTTTTTTGTCTCTTTCATTTGTATTGAAACCTACAATCTCGGGTTTATTGGGTGTCTACGCTTATCGATTTCGTACTTTAAATAATCCCACAAGTAGAAATCAAGGGGGGTTACATCTGGTGACCTAGGAGGCCAAGGTTTAGAAACATTGGTAGCAATCCATTTGTCGTTGAAAATGGTTGTCAAAAATTGATATGTGCCTCGGAAGTTAAGAGCTATTACGCCATCTTGTTTAAAATAGAGATTCTGCATACATATGATGTCAAGCTCATCTAGAAAAAATTGTTCGTGTGTCTTTACAGACGAATTACTGTATGCCAAATTGCATTCTAAAATGTAGCACTTTTCTTCATGTGTAAAAACCATTTTTGAATAATTGAACACTTGATTTAGATCATGCCATATATGTATAACTAATTTAATATTACAATTAAAAAGAAAGGAGGGGTAATGGTGAAACGCAGAGTGTAGTTTTCTGACACAGAAAAGCAGAAATTTGTTGCTTGTTTAGTAGTAAAAAAGAAAACAAACACAGTAAAAAATTGAAAATTGAAAAAATTAAACTTATCTCTGTTGGCTCCAGAGTACATTGAAACTCTTCTTTTCGTGTTTGTTTCCGAAATTTATCCGAAAAATTCGTATAATTTCTGGTCACCCTACGTTTCCGACATATTAACGGTCAAACACACGGCATAAAATCACATACGTAAATCGTGCATTGATACGACCTTAGTAAATCAACTTTCTTTATTGCCACACATGCATAATTATTAAACAAATAAAAAGAGAACGATTGGAATTGCCGTTACTTGTGGATTTTTGATTGAAATCGTTAAAGTATCACAGTATGGGCGGACAATTTTTGTTGTCGAACGCGATATTTTGGATTTTCCGAAATTTTCGACCAATTTCGGAAACCAGTTTATCCAATTGATAGAGTAAAAAAAGCACAATTAGTAAGGTTGGGTTTTAAAGCGTTCCTCTTCAATGGCGAACTTAAAAACAATAATTCCCATTGTCGAAACCCGCCGTGCGACTTGCAGCGACATTTTCTGAAAAATGTTAATCTATCGCCGTTCCCATTAGTACTCGCGGCTGGTACGTTCAATTTGTTAAAATCGTTTGAGAAATTACAAAGGTACCGGCAAGGCAAGAAAATGAAAGACGTAGTTACTTGGTTTTACAAGTCGATTAGCATCAAGAGTTCGGATAAATCTGGTGATTCGTTGTATTTATACTTAAGCTGTATTATTGGTAAGTCAACAGTACGACGTGAAGTATTTATACCGCGTGTTTCAAATTCAGGCTCTCAGCTCTGCGAACTGGGAAATGGAAAGAGAGAGGTAAGAGCTGAACGTTTGGTGCCAAGTTACATTTCGATAATATTATTAAAAACTATAATATCCATTGTTTACATATGTAAACTTGGAAAAGATCTATAATTGAAAAAAGTTTCATCTTTGATGGAATTCGAAAATTCCTTCCCACTTCTCGTTTTTTTAAACTAACAACTTTTAAGTTTGTGTCTTGTTTAAAAAATCCAAAACAATAAAGAAAATATATACGAGAAGCTCCTGCAAAATAAATGAGTAGATGATTTATTATAAATCAAACTTGGTATAAAATTTTTGACTTCGACGAGAGAACAATATTAAAAAATAGCCCCACAATGTACCGGTACATTATTAGAAATTTTAAAATTAGTCAAAAAAAACGAGATCCCGCCAAACATGAATTCAATTTCCCAATGCGGAGAGTCTTTTTTGAAACACTAGGTACACATCAATGCTAGATATAGAACATTCTAATGCCAGTATGAGAAACTTATTTAGTAACATGTTTCGTCATTATGTATTATTGTATAGTACTGTAAGTTGTGTCTATTTTTTAATTTTTTTTTTGAATTTTCGGATATTGTATAACATAATAAAAGTTAACGGTATGGAGGTATTAAGCACTACATATTTGTTGGAAAGGGCACTTTTTAATTTTTAATAAAATGTTAGTTTCTAAGAATTCCTTATTTTATTTCACAGAATTTCATATATTTATTTAGAGTTGAATATTCATAAATAGTATTCCTTATAGACAACTTACTGAACATTTTTGGAAGAAATAATTAACATCGATAGTAACCTAATTATTAACAGAGCAGTGGCTCCGAGCTTTTCTACTCAAGACAAGAAAGACGTTAGTAAATTTATTTTCAAACTTTGATCATAATATTTAAGTAAAAAATTATCTTTATATTACTAATTCGTAATTTTTAAATGAGACAATTTAAATTTTTTTGGAACTGAAAATTTTGCGTACATTGATATGGATCTGACAAATTATTATTCTTATATTTAAAAGTTTAAAAGTTTTGACGAAGTAAATCGAACAATCACTTGCCTAACTCAATTTAACTGCAATTTACTGAAGAAAATTTTGTTTGCAACTTTCTTAAATAATTGGAGTCAGATTATTGCAAGTCATCAGTAAAATCAATAAAACCCAGGACCTATATATAGGATCTCACTTCTTTTGGTGTGGATAAAATTATTATTGTCACTCATATTACCTATAGCCTATAGTACCTAATTACTTTTGATACTGTAGGCTACAAATTTTATGGGTTTGTTGTTTTCTGTTTTTTTTTTGTTGTTATTGGTTTTTATTTATTTGTTTTTATTGGTTCTCTGTAGGTTTTACAACTGACTTGCATCAACGTAACTCTTCTTTAATTAATAACATCGGACACTAGAAGCGATGGGTTCCCTTAGGTACCTCATTAATAAGCTCTGTTATTTTTTCAAGCTTATTTGACGGCATTTTCATGTGGCGTGTCCTTCAGTTGGACTTCCCCGGTTATACCGAGATTTAAAAGTATAGAAAATCCTTTTGGTCACGAAGTATCGACAACTCAACTAGCTTTGATCGCCGCGTTTTTGCCTTTGGGTGCTGTGAGTGGACCGCTCCTGGCCGGTTTAGCCTCTGACAAGATTGGTCGGAAGAAGACCATGATGGTCTTGGCGGTGCCCATGATTGCCGGATTTTGCATATTGGCGTTTGGGAGAATTGTCGAGTTATACTATCTTGCAAGGTAGTTGATGTAAATAGCTTGCACACTAACTGAAATATGTTTTCCTTTATTTTGACAAATTTAGTTTTATATTTACCTATACTGCTCCAAAATATTTCTGATTCTAAAGGTGACCTTGGTATTCTATCAATCTACCTAGTTTATTGAATTCATAGGTTTTTAATTGGTCTGGGAGTTGGAAGCACGTTTGCTATTCTCCCCATGTATATCGCAGAAATTACGGAAGGTCGGAATAGAGGAAAATTCGGATGTTTTCTGGGAATTTTTATCACGCTTGGATTATTTTACCCATTCTCGGTGGGTCCTCATCTGACTCTACAAGTGTACGCGATGAGTTGTACCATTCCGTTGGTGGTGTTCTTCATAATATTCGGTCTATTTATGACCGAATCGCCCCATTATTTACTAGTCCGTGGAAGAAAAAAGGATGCGGAGGAAGCCTTAATGAAGCTTAGGAATAAATGTGTAAACCACATTCAGACAGATATTTCGGAAATCATGTTATCCATTGAAGAAAACAGTCAAAGTAAGGGTGAGTATCAAATTTTCATAAAACACTTACCTGTTGACGAAATCTACACTTTAACATCGGCTCATCTACTGCCACATGACAGCTGCAACAAATAAGTCACTTTAAATAATCGTTTCACTATTTCATTAGAATTTACTTGGACTTTGAAGAATGAAAGAGCTATAAAAATTATTTTAGCTAAAAATTTGGATTTAAATTTGACTTTATATTTTAGGAGGCTTCAAGGAACTATTTACGGCTCCGGTTGCCAGGGAAGCAATGTTAATAAGTGCCGGGTTAGTGCTGCTGCAGGAACTTTCCGGTATACATCCGATGATGGCTTATCTGAAGCCGATCTTTGAAAGTTCCACAAAAACGATCTCGCCTGACGTCGCGACACTGATTTTTGGCATATCGCAAATCAGCTCTAATTTCATAACTGCCTTGGTTGTCGAAAAAACTGGACGAAGAATACTCTATATGGTTTCTTCCGCCGGGTGTGGAATATGTTGTGCCGTCTTAGGTATAAACCGGAACTCAGCGATGTTTCCAATACAATACGGCATATTTTTAGGCATTTATTTCCTTTTGAAGCACTTAAGTTACGACATGGAATCGGTTTTCTGGATGCCAATCGTTTGTATGGTCGGATACATGATCTTTTTCAGCATGGGTTTGGGCCCGCTCGCGTGGAACGTCGTTGGGGAGATATTCCCATCGAACGTTAAAGGTGTTGGTTCCGGCTTAACGGTTTGCATATCTTTTCTCGCTTCCTTCGTTGTGGTGACGATTTTTCCGATACTCGCTAAGGCTGCTAGTATGGCGGCCCCCTTCTGGATGTATACAGTCGTAACAGTCCTGGGAATGTTCTTTATTTACTATAAAGTACCCGAAACGAAAGGAATGTCGTTGGCGGAAATACAGCAGACATTGAAGAAAACTCACAGAAATAATTCACCAGTTGCCGAAAATAATGTCTAGAAATTATTATTTATATGATAATAGGAATGGTATGTAATTATTTTTTTATTAAAAATGAATTATGACAATTTCCAATTTCAGGCCGGATATGAATTAATATGTAACTACCTTTATTTAGCTGTACAGTTTACTAAAGCAAAATATTTATTGTTCGGTTCGCGTTTCGCCATGTTTGTATCATCAGGGGATGATTAAAACTGAGTTCAATTATTATTAATCATCGCGATTGTTTGTGGCGTGTAATTAAAGTTTCCAGTGTGCGGTATGACTTTGTCAGTTGCCTAGCAACTTATGGAGATTCCGGAAGTTGGGAATTTGATGTGGTTTGGTTTATGTCATTGCACCAATACGATCTGAAGAGCGACAGCTATTTTGCATAATATCGAAAATAATACCTCACCAAGACACGTTACCGGCTGTGGACGAAGTGAAGAGCATACTGATCATATAATTGGTCTGGTCTGTTTATAAAATTTTGATTGCATTCGCTAAGAGTTAGAAGTTAAAAATATTAGTTATTAGATATACATTGTTATATATCTATGTATTTATTAAATTAAGTGGTTAATAACTACTTCTTTAATTTGATATACAAATTATAATCAATAAATTATAATACTAAGTATCACAATATAAGTGAAAGTGATGCGGAATATTTAGTGTTCTTTCCGAACTGCACGGAAGTGGTAATTTTTAATTATTAATTAATTATTAATAAACGCAAATATTTTGGAGAACTCCAAATAAGTGCATGTTTATAACAAAATTGAACCATCCCATTCCATAACAGGGTTCCTATTGTTTGATTTGGAGTGTTATTAAATATAGTTATTTAATAAAGTCAATGTTACCTGCCCCAAAATACACTAGAAATTGCTGTTAGAATTGAAAGGCTATAGAAATAAGAATAGCATCAAACTAGAAGTTGGATTATACGCTATCCCTGCATGGCATGCAATTCATGTTTAAGCTATCCAGCTAAAAATATTTTTAAAAAATTTTAAAACTGGACAATTATTTTGATAGCGTGATAGTTTTGCATATATTACGTAAATAAAATAGGCAATTCCTAACTCCGTCCGTAGAGGGCAACCCAAAACTGGATGCAAATATTTTAAATTACTTTTATGGCTCAAAATAGAAACACAATTTCGTATAATCGACGGCCTCCCAAATGAGAAGGTGATAATTAATTAATTAAAAAATTTCAAATCCGACTAAAATATTTTACCAATTATTTGAATTTTGATTCGCAGATTAAAGAAGAAAAATTTGTGTACGACAGATTTTTTTATTCTTCAGTAAAAAACCACTAAAAGTCCAAAAGTAAATTTTAGTTCATTCGGTGTCAATCTACCAAATTTTAGTTAATGATATTCAAAAATATTTTTAGAAAACCCGTCGTCAGGTTTCACACTCTTAAAAACGAAGTTAAACGACCAGTTGGGACCTTAGTTTATAAAAAGTTTCTTAATTTTAATCCGCGATTCACGTTGAGTGTACTATTAAAGTACTGGAAAACTAAATAGTTTTTTTTTAATTTGGTATACTGACATTGTCTATCTATTTGAAATATTTGCGCACCTGCAGCGTTGCCCATTCGACTTGAAATACACGGCAATATTGGAAATTCATATGGACTACCATGTATATTCATACACTTTCTGGTATTGTCAACAATCATAAGTAACTTTTGTTAACATCTCCCCTGTCTCATTCGCTTAAATACTAAAAAAAAATTGTTTTTCGGAAAGACGCTTTATTAAAGTTTAATTGTTTTTTCCTCAAAATGTCACAGGAGCTAGTGAACACACCTGCTTCAATAAGTGTGATCGGCGATTGTACAGGGTGTGTCAAATATTCGCATTTCCAAAAAAAATATATTTCAGAGAAACCTTCAAGAGGATCAATAATTAATCTACAAAATTGAGTGAAGATTGTTTCTCGTTTAAAAAATCCACTTAAAAAAGATTTATCTTATAAATTATTTGCCTCAGCTGCGACTCGCTGATGTTTTAAGTTTCATAAAAAAAAGATTTTACTGTTACTGCATTTTTTTTTTAAATTAAATTTTTTTGGACAACCTGTATGACTTACCATCGATATCGGTCATGCAAAGGAATGTACTAGATCACCTTCGCTAAATTTTGGCATCGCTCTCTCTTACGTAAACAGATATTTAGTGGCAGCTTTTCTGCAACAAAAAAAAAACACTTTTTTCGAATTAAAGGGAAGGACAAAAGTTGCAGGTGCAGGTGCGTAAATATTTCAGAATTTCAGGAGCGTATGATACATGGTTAGGAATTTTTTAGAAGTTTTATTCCAGGACAGCCTGTATATACGTAATCATTTGAGCGGTAAAGCGGAAATAACCGCATTTTACACCCAAATTAATAATCTCGCCGAAAAATATCTCTAATAATATATCCAATTAACAGAGGCAATGGATTTGATTCCGCAACAAAAATTAGTTTCGGCAAATAAACGCCGCGGGGTGAAACAATTTTCCAACCGGTTCGTAATCCTGGTCACGTCGTAGTTCGGGGTTTGGTGATGGTAATTTCGCGTTGCGGTGTGTGCAGGGGGTGTTAAATTAGACTCGGTATTTATACGTATATAAGGATAATTCTTGTTTGTGTAATTTGTGGCCGTACGTGCTAATCAGGATATTTTTAATTGGCCGGAATATATCGAGCGAAAATTATGCACATTTCCCAGTTATCCCAATTCCATTTCGACACCGTCTCGGACGGCCTAGATGAATTGGTTATATATAAATCATCAGGTACAAAAACTGTATTCAAACAAAGCAAAATTGCGATACCTGGTTATAGTCTGTGCTATTATGGCACGTCTCTACGTGTCTTTTCATAAATTGAACTGAGGTGGCCTTTACTTGATGAAAATTCATTTATCAAAATAAATAAGAACTAAAAGTTCACATTTTCACGAAATTATATATCTTTTTTTTTATCAAATGATTTGATATGTAATTTCGTAAAGCTCTAAAGTTTTAGTTCTTATTTATTCTTTTCATAAACAAAGAATACAAACATTCCTAAACTGTGGTTTGAGATTTATATTTTAAATACAAAGGTGTGACGCATATATCACGTCCTGTAATCGGTTGATTTGTTTAACACAAGAATATTATTACATTGCATCGAGCTTTATTTTTAAAATAATTAAAACTAAAACGACAAAGTACCTTTATAAAAAATGGCATGTACTGCTTATAACATTTTTCGCAAATCTGGTTTTGCTTTACTTCGAGGAAGAATTCATCATACCCGTAATGAAATAGACCAAATCAATAAGTCTCTTCTGTTTCTACGTCTTGTCCCCATCCGAAGTCGATATCCTTTCAAACATGATTCATGATAAAGATGAAAATCTTCGTTTATCTTCTCAACTACTAAACACTGTGATAAATCTATCATTTCACCAATATATTATATTACAAAAACTGAACGCACTGCTCTAAAATCTTTAAAATCTAATCCCGACATCATATTTTTTAAAGCATATAAAGGAAAAGTAACAAAATTCAAGATATTCTAGCAGACGAATTCTATCGTTAACTTAAAAAGGATCCTACGTTATCTATAGAACTCAACCATAAATCTGTTATTAAGGCTTCATCTCTATCAGTATCCTTGAAAAAGTGTGTCAATTTCTATGACTCTAAAATTCCTCCTCTCTACGGACTCCCTAAGATTTACACCCACCATTGCTTCTGCAACATATTGTCTAGCAAAATATCCAACTACTATATTAAAACTCTTTACAGGGAAAGCTAATAGTTTTGTACTTAATCCCTTTCATTTCATTGGTTAATTAAAAGCTATTACATTTGGTCTATAGGTTATTCTGGTTAATTTCGACATAGAATGCGTCTTTAGTGAAGTCTCTATTTCTGAAACTCTCGACATTATTTCAGATATATTAAAATCCTACAATCTGGAACCAAACGTTCTGTATTAATGTCAAATGTCAATTTTTGAACAATATACGCGAATATATTTACGACGGGACGAAAAATATCAAACTAGGCTCAAAGAACATGAAAGAGCCTTAAGACGACCACAAATGAACTCATCAGCAGTTACAGAACACAATTAGAAAGCAGACTTTATTCGATAAAAATAAAAAAGTGGCACTTCTTCTCTTGATTCTATATTGAAGTTATCTTGGACTGATGTTATTCATTGATATATCGCTCTTCATTGACTTTATAATATTGATTGACTAAATTACGAAAATGAAAATAAATATATAAAAAGAACTTGTATAATTATGAACGTCACTCTCATGTTTTGAAAAAATGACACTCGCTCCATATGCAAGTCACAAAACATCAAGTGAAATATTTAAACGCCCATCCAATTTCGTTACAAATTTATTGAATGGTAAAAATTTAATAACATTTGTCCATTAAACTAAATTAAAATTGGAATATATTAGGCAACCGTTCGATAGTGAACCGTCTGAAAATAAAATACCTATTCGGACCCGAAATTAAAATAAATTTTGAAGCTCGTAAAATGGATGTTCACTGAGCTCTATAGCCACGTTGTGTTGTGATAAAAAATCGTTTTTTGATGCCATCGTTTTACAGCAATGTATTTTAATATGCTCGACAATACCTACTAATATCTTCATCATCATGGATGGCTTCAGAATTCGTCGTGAGTTCAGGGAGATTTCAATAGCGGATCTGTGTACACTAAATTGTCAATTTTATCAGAAATTACATCTAATTACACCAACAATTACCACTAAATATCATTTAACTAATTCAATTGCCTTACCTATGTAATCATTATTCTGTTTTTTAATCTACTATAAGATCTACAAAAAATGTAAACCAAATTTTGGACATGTTTTACAACAAATTTACATAATATTATCGTCCAATAGTCAAAAACTAACTGCCCAATTAAATATATTAGATTACTGACTTGAAATAGGAGAATTTTATTATAGTCCTAAATCAAATGCTTCGGGAGTTGATTGAATTGCACTTTTAATGTAGAAACTAAGTTTATCCCTACTACTTAACCATATAACCCACATAGTAAATTCATATCTTGAGAATGGTTACTTTTCAGCCTGCTGGAAAACAGCTGTTCTGCGTCACATTCCTAAAGAAAGTTCACCTGAATCGCTTAATGATCTAAGGCCGATTAGCTTATTTCATGTGATGAGAAAGATTCTGGAGAGGGTTGTGTACTTACAGCTCTATGTTATGTTGTTAAATGTGACAGATCGAATTTTTCAGAGTTTAGATGACAAATTTGCGACCATAAAAATTCTACTCAACTTTTCTCAAGCTTTTGATTGTGTGGTTCTCTCTGACGGCCTACAGGCTCTCTATTGCAACTGCTTGCAAAATAGAAGACAAGTTGTTAGGACAACAGCTGGCGTCAGGGGTGTCTCAAGGATCAATCTTGGGGCCGCTATTATTTTTACTGTATATATTTAATTATATTTTTGATCCGTTTCATTATGATGAGGTCGAAGCAGATATTAATTTCGCTCTGCAGCAGGTTTATACTTATAGTGAGAGACGTGCTTTAAAGTTAAATGCTGCTAAAACTCGGGTGCTACTTTTTGCTCGCGACTCTGGAAAGATACTTGCATCTTGAGATAAATTAGGAACCCTTGTCGTTTGCTACCAAGGCCAAAAATTTAGGAGCAACGGTGGAGGTACCATTAAGATTAAAATTTAAGATAAATAAAGTGCTAATTGGGTTTTTCGTCTTTTAATTAATCACAGAATTATTTCTAAAATTACTTACTTTATTTGTCTTTTGCTTATATTTTATTTTTCTTTGATACGGGTTCTATTGTTACAAATTGTATTGTCATCTCAATTCTCAATAAAGACTATTATTATTATTATTATCATTTTTAATATTATTATTATTATTATTATTATTATTATTATTATTATTATTATTATTATTATTAATTTTCAAATCGACTTTTCTTATAATATATCATCCCTCATTGATATTTCTAGGAATGAGAAAGAGATGTGTCAACCAACCTACTGGCGATACGTTGGAAGATAAGACTTTAGAAGAATTTCCTAATACATATTACGTGAAGCTTGGATTTAGAGAGACAAATTTTTACATTTAACACAACCGACATTTTAAACCCTCGGAAAAGTTACATAATTATTCCCAAAGTTTCACAAATGCGAAAAGGTATCATGCGGTTTTTTAATCCGTTGTTTATTAGACGCGGTAATGGATTTTCATTGTATTTGGCCAAATGAAAAGTAATCTTCACTCAAAGACAATTAAAAGATTTTCCTCGGGACGAATACAAACAGCCAAAGTATTACTCATTCATTAAATACGAGATGAACTTTCATTCGTTTCGGCACTGCGGACTTTCATTAGACCTTATCGTGGAACGCTCGTTTTTTATTTGCATACCTTACAAATTCTGGAATGGTCGAGAGAGAAATGCCAAATTTTAGATCATGCCCTTGTTCACAATATATCGATCGACCTGCTTTTAAGAATTATTTTTTATAAATTTTGCAGTACAGCAGTTTTTTATTACTGTTTTTTTGATAGTTTTTCAAGAAGTGTAATGACTCTTCTTCTTGTGTTTTTCTGGCTGGATATCAAAAATAATTTTCCCATATGGTTTTGATTACAATACTATGGCATTCTAACTAATGACTTTATATAGTAATAGCATATGAAAAAGTGGTTCCAGTTAATCATATACGATACGACAACAAATAATAAAAATTAAGTACAAAAAATGCCTTTTAAGTAATTATTAAAACATTAAAATTCCCCAGAGATATGTCACACCAACCACAATTTATGTTACCAATGGGCCATTGTCCATATTAGTTAATATTGTTCTTCTAGCCATTTCATGGTTCAAGTTTACAAAATGCAATAATAATAGCGGAAAGCAGTAAGGTGATATATTACATCGCTCATTGATTATAATCTGTTTGCCATAAACTTTTTCCAATCATTCCATTTTTCCATTAAATTATTTCATCCCATTTATAGCATTTATGACGCTGTTTTAATAGTTTCAATTAATTTCATTAGCATAATCAGATCCGGAAATAACTCCCGAATCGTCAGAGATATCAGAGATATACTTGTTTAATTTACAATTTGTTTGAATTAAAAAGAGAAATTTAATTAAATT